GTACTGTATGAATGACCACTTCCTGATTTCTGTTCATGCTTCACATAAACACATTAGGTGTTCTGTAATTCTCATGCCTCTTAATGTTAGCTATATTATTATCCACAGAGTGTGATGCTTTTGCATAGTCAATAAAACACAAATAAATACTGTATTTTATGAGATAATTGTATTCTTGAAATAGTTTTTATATTTGTTGAGTTAGGCTCATTGTTGCACTTTGGTTCTTCTGGACTTGTTTTGATTCAGCTTCAACTTTACCTTGTAAATGAACAATTTATGATTGGTCCCAACATTCATCCTCAGCTTTGTTCTGATTGATGATGTTAGGTGTTTCCACCTTCCATTTCCACAGTTACAGTTTATTTGAGTTGTCTGTATTATAACCAGGCAAACCTATGAATATAGATGAATCAAGTCTGTAAGTATAGTTGCCTTTATTAATGTTGGGAAAGGATATTTAAAATAAGTGGCTTTTTGGTCTCACAAAATTCTATCATGTGATCCCTGTCATTTATACTATCACTAAGGCCATGTTTTCCAACTATTAATCCTTGGTTATTTCCAACTTCACACTAGAATCAAAGATGATTACTAATAATCTTGATATTTTTAATCAATTTTTTAATACTAATTTTAATGAACATTTACAGAGAGTTTGGATTTCCATACATTCCCAGTTCACTCTTCTGTTTGAAAAGTAAAAGAAAAATTATTTCATGCCAGTGAAATAATTTTTAATAAATTTTAAGATTGCATAACTTGGTATGTTGCAAGGAGGGACCAGTTCTTGGAGAAGGACATTATGCTTGGGAGGCTGAGTAACAACACAAGAGAAGAAGACCGTCAATGAGATGGATTGACTCAGTATAACTGGGGAAATGGGGGTGGGTATGTCAAGGATAATAAGGTTTGCTCAGGATAGAGCAGGGTTCAGACCTGTTGTGCATAGGGTGTTATGAGTTGCAGGCAACTTGATGGCATATGACAACAACAACAATTTGTTTAAAAAAAATCTTCAATTTGCTCTTCTGTGGCATTGGTGGTCATTGTATAAATTTAATTAATAGTCGCATTAATGATGTAGCTCTGGTGGCCCAGTGGCAAGAAGCTGTGCTGCCATCCTGAAGGCATGTGGTTTGAGGTCACCAGAGGCTCCTAGGGAGAAGGATGGGCAATATCCTCCCATTCCATTAACTGACTCTGAATACCCACTGGAGGGTCAGCTATGTGACTGTTCTGACTTTACGGTGCACAACAACCAACATCTTAACTATCTTTATAGTGTATTGTTATTATTGTTACTGATAGATTATTTCCAGATAGACTTGAAATGTTCTTTTTGACCATTAATGGAACACAATTCCTTTTTAATTTGCCATTCCTAGAAATATAGAGCATATGATTGTCAGCTTCAAAATAGCCAATACAGCTCCATTTCTCACTAATTCTTAGGATATCAGTCTTCAGTGCTCCACTTAATTTTTGACAATTCTCTTTTCCTTTATTAATACTTCATAAATTCTATAACATTATGTAATGCTGATACAAGTTTATTTTATGCAATGATTATGTAAGAGCAAAGACAGCAAAGTTAATAGGCCAGAAAATATTTCTCTGTTGCTGTTGAAGGAGAATAAACAAGAACTACCTAATAGATTTAACATATAATGAAAATTGACTGCATTGTATATAATCAACACATTTAATATTCCACATAAGTTTAGATACAGATGGACTTTCAAAATTATCATTAGCAACTAATTGGTACTTCCTTGACTAATATAGTTTACTGACTAAAAAAATAAATAACACAATAAACTGATGCAATTTTAAGGTCAAGGCAATTAAATTGTGAGAAGGTTGAATTTGAAGATCAGATTAGTAAGTGTAATAGAAACAAATCATGTTGATCAAGTGGTCATGTTGGAAGTTAGTTCCTTTGTAAATATGTAAATTGATTTTTGCTCTTATACATACTCCATGTGGTATCTATTTTCAGAGCTAAAAAGTTGAGTTCAAGTGTTAGTTATAAATTTAGCTAGGCCTTGTTGTTGTTTTTGTTGTTGTTGTTGTTGTTGTTATGTGCCATTGAATCGTTTGCGTCTGTGAAAATAATCTATCCTTCCTAAACTGCAATTTTATTGTCTGTGAAATGGTACTGAACTCTACGCAGGGGTCCTACTGGACTTTACATGAATATGATCTAACTTCTGAAGCGAAGCTACTTTCAAACCTATAGAACTTTTATGCTGTCCTTGTTGATTGTTGTTGACTCAATTCTAGTTTGTGATAACTTCTTGTGTTACAGAGGAAAAATGTTCCACAAGTTATTTTATTTTCACTTTTAGTGTAAGTTCAATGAAAGCAGATTGTAAGGGCTGTTCTTCTGCTGTACCGCTAAAGATGGTTGGATTACCTAACTTTAGGTTAACACAAACCATTTGACCCCTTAAGATCTAGTAATTTTGCTCTTGTTTTCTTTACTCTGTGAGCAAATTATGGTATAATTTGATATTTGCTTTCTGTACATACAGTGTCACTCACTCATTCACTTGCTTATTCACTCATAACTATTGAGTTGGAAGTGAATCATTGCTGACCCTTGGGGGGATTTTTCAGAAACTGCAAATTAAGTGGGAAGAGATTGCTCATCTTTTCCGCCCTTCCCTTTCTCTGCAAATATTTCTCCTTCATGAGCAGCTAATGTATTCAATCAACATACCTTTGGGTCAGCAGTACAGTTTTATACCAAATAGATACTTCTTGTGTACAATATGAAGTAAAATAATTTTCACCAGATGTTTTCCTTATGGACACCCTCCTATCATTACTCTGCCTGGAAAAATGCAGGTATAGCAGGTTAAATCAGGTTCAGTGGGACAATTCCAAAGTGAATCGCAAGGTGAATATCATGACTAAGCAGGATGTTAGGGAAGTGACGAACTCCTGGCACGTTTTGAAGTGTTTGCCTGTGCTCGAGATGGCTTTGCTTAAAAAAGTTGGAAAGAGAAAAGAGATTGGCTACTTAATTTCTTCCTCAAGGGCAGGACAATAAGGTGTAGAGATTTCTTTTTTTTTTTTTTAGAAAACAATTACTGTATGTGTGTGTGTGTGTGTTTGTGTGTGTGTGTACTGTCAAATCGGATCTGACTGGTACAGGAGGAGAGTGCCCCTCCTTCTACAGCAGAGGGTCTGATGGATTTAAACCGCACACCTCTGGGATTGCAGTGCAGCTTCTTGCCACCAGGCCACCAGAGCTCCCTGAGATGTTATAACTTAAAAAGAAGATGTTCAGCATATACTTTTCTTCTTACATTTTTTGACACTGGAAAAAAAATTATATAAAACCAAATTACTCTTAATAACCTCTTAGTAACTGTGTAGACATATTTGTGAATTATTATGTATAGTCAATCTATGTAATCTATGCTTTATCTCTATTACTGTTTCTATATTTATGCTTATCTAATCGCATAAATGTACAGCTTAGAATGATTAGATATTTAAGAAACCTTCAAGTCACTCAATATCAACATAAGTTTTCAGGATAAATATATACATACGTGGTGTTCTTCTACTCAATATGTTTGTGTTTTTTTTCTTTTCTTTTTTCTAACCTGATAAACTTAAGTTTCTCTATCAAGATTCAGACTGATACAAATTCTGACAAGAAGACTGTCTTCACAGTCCTCTAATTTGAAAATCTTTTATGTTCTTTAGTACATCTGTAGGTACTCAAAACAAATTTAATGAAAGAAATATTGCATAGTAAAGTATAAGATATTGAAGAACAGGAATAGAAAGATGCAGAGGTCTGTCTTACTTATTTAATAATATATTAAAATATCTAAGGTACAGGGATAATTCCCTGAAAACAATTTGATTATTTTTAAATGTGTAACCTGACAGTCTTTGTAATGTTTTTTAATGTACTTAAAAACAATCATTGTATATGAATATAGTTAAAATTTAAGTAACAATTCATATATAGAAATATAGTTAAAATGAACATAAAGTATTATTTTGCATAGTGACTTACCCCCTATAAGCCAATTTGTATTTTTCTTTAAATTAAAAAAATTTATAAATGGCTGGCTTTTTTTTCTGGCCAGTAATCATACAGAATATCTCAGACCTGGGAGTCACAAGCCACACAGATGAGAGGAGGAATAAATTTGTAAGGAAAAAAGCGAGAGATAGTGGTTGCAGTTTGATGAAAAAAAAAATCTCTGACCAAAGAGACACATATGGAAACCTAGAATATCATAACTATTTTTAACAGAATAGCACAATTTAAGATTATTGGTGAGAGTGAGACTAGTGTTTGTTGTTGTTAAATGCCATCAAGTTGCCTATGATTCATACCAATCCTAAGGAACCAAAGACCTGAACTATTCTGTGCTATTTTCAGGGAACTACACATCTCTAACATGCTCCAATCCATTGTTATAGACACTGTGTCAGTCCATCGTGTTGAGGATCTGCCTGTTTCTCTGACCTTTCTTCTTTCACCTTTCTCAGCATGTTGTCTTTTTCCAAGGTTTGGAATATAAGTTGTTAGACTAAAAGCTGGCTTTCTTTTAGCCATTTTGCCTCTGGTCTCCAGCTACCTTAACTTCAGACACGTGGTTTTAAAAATAAGCTTCAGCTGTGGGACTAGAATAAGTGGAAGAGTGCTTCCCACACTAAGCTGCAAGACTTGAAATGAGAAAGTGTTAAAGCAAGACTTGAGGTGAGCAAGACTTGTGGTGGCAAGACCCTGGTGAAAGCAAAACCCTAGCGGTGGAAATACTGGCGTTTTTGTGCAGAAACTGGAGCAAAGTGTGTCACACTTGCATTTGTGCTGGCCACAGTTAAAGGATATTTATGTTCTTGCTTTTGATGATGAAAGGAAAAGCTAATTGTTGAATTGAAACTGGAGCCTGGACTAATTGAGGAGTTGTGCCTTAGAATTGTTAGGCTAAAACTTGGATTTATTTTGGATTATATTAGTGCCCATGTCAGTAATTGCTGTGGTCACTTACTTTGGTAAGATATTACTGTATAATATGGCTTGGAAATATAGAGTTTGGGGAAGAATTTTTTTCAAACTCATCTTTCTTATCCATTCAGGATTTAAAGGAATGATAACAACTATTAGTGCTAACTGATAACAATTGAAATGTAAAATTATCATGAAATGCAAAGTAAACTTTGCACATTGTTTTTTATTACTTGACATGAAGAATTCAAATGGAAAATGAAGACACTTTTTTTTTGCCAATTATAGGAACATGGAATTTTAAAAAATATGTAGCAGAGACAAGACCTTCTTTATAATTCACTGTTAGAGGATTATAATTTAAAAGATACCCTTAGATTCTACATTTAACATTTAGTTAAAAGGAAAGCAGTGTTCTTTTGATAATACATACTTTTGATATATTGTACTATATTAATTTAGGGGTCCAATTTAGGGGCTATGCAATTTTTAATTACTTACTTAGATGCTCTGTGTGTGTGTGTGTGTGTGTGTGTGTGTGTGTGTAATCCTATCTTAATTTCACCAAAGTGATGCTATTTGTTCTGTATCATACTTACTCATTTGTCCATCTTTTTCAGGTTTATTTCCTGCTGTGTTGAATCTTGCGTCTAATGCTCTCATTACCACCAATGCAACATGTGGAGAAAAAGAACCTGAAATGTACTGCAAATTAGTAGAGCATGTCCCTGGACAACCAGTGAGGAACCCTCAATGTCGAATCTGCAATCAAAATAGCAGTAATCCCAACCGTATGTATTTCAGACTGAATAAAGCAGGGTCTGACTTACAAGTCATGTGGAGGCCAAGTCACAGTAGAATTCAATGCTTGGAATCTCTAGAATTTCTAGAACTTTTATCCAATGTAGTATTTTTCATGGTTTCACTTAATCCATCAACTGACATTAAATAAGTTTCTTAACTGTGCCAGGTGAACTGCTCGGTGAGAATTTTATTGCTAGAACATTCAGGAGTTATGAGACTTACCACAGCCAGAATGGTATCTGAAGATGTGATTATTCAAACTTTCACTAAACAGTTACAAGCAACTGGCCGTTCATTAATCATCCACTGGCACCATAGGTATCATATGCCTTTTTAAGTGCTAGGTATCCAACAGGAAAAAAAAAATTAGAAACTCTGGCTTAGACTGTGAAAAATATAAGACAGAAACACAATAGCTAGGTAATATGATAAGGTCCGTGACTTGCAATTGACTCTAAGACAATAACAACATGGTAAATTCCAAATACGGAATGAGCACACATGCTGGAGAGAGAGAGAGTCACAAGTAGTCTCTGATAAGTGAATGTTTTTCCAAAGTGGTGTCTAATTTGAGAACTGAAGGTAAATAGAAGTTGGTCCAGTAAACAGGTGAGAGTGGGGAAGAGAATACAGAGTGCCATGAAAAGCGATCAGGATAAAATAGAAAACCTTATATGCTCAGGGAACGATACATAGTTAGGAACGGTGATTAATGAAAATGCTAGCAGGTAAAGGGTTCAGATAATCCTGATGTGGAAGACAGAATTCCCTAAATACCACAGGAGAATTCCTTTAAGCAAAAGTCCATAAAGAACTCTCTGGCTTGGCTCTGTGGATCACACTCATCAATCTCTGAATGTATCTGGTTATTTTTAAAATAAGTATTCAAATCCTTTCTACTGGAGTATAATATTAAATCACACATATTGTATGATTTAAGGTCATGCAACAAGGTCATACAAAATGAGAATTAAAGGAAAGAGAAAGCAAGTTTAGTGCATAACGAACATATAGAAAGTTCATCTGAAGATTCTGGGAGGAGGAAGATGAAGCTTGATAAAAAGAAATTAATTTTATCATAAATTTCATGTTTGGTGGATTTGGTGATCTCAGAGAGAGATTGTGAGAAATCCTACAATTATGGGCATGGTGTTTGAGAATCATGAGTTGGTGGTTTGGAGTATGTAGATCTGATTTTATGATAAGGTGGACAGAAAAAGAGAGATACAAAAAAATGTGTTCTTTATTCTGTGTATTATGCTATTTACCATTTCATACCTCAACAAGTAGAAAGTTACAGCAAACAAGAGTTGAACACAAACTCATTTAAAAAAACACATTCAAGACAGCAAAGTCAAAGAATAAACCATGAAATTCATACAAGTGGTATAAAACATCTAAGAAGGAAAATATTAATAGGAACTGAAGGAGGAAAAGTAAGTATCAAGAAGGTGGTTAATTTTATCTGAGCATGAAAAGAAAAATGCCTGAGTTAAGACAGGAAGGATTTCAGGAAAGGAGAGGAAGAAAGAAAATGTGTACAGAGATATAAAACAGATGGAAGAGGAAAGTATTAGAATAGGGGGGAACTCACAACAACAACAAGAAAAAAAACAATTAAGAGTCTTGACTGGAAAAAAGGGTGAGACATGTTGACCAAATATGGTTCTCTTCAGAGTCCTCCCTCTAAGGTTTCTTGTGCCTTAAAGGAAGGCACTCATATTTAGACATCTCACCCACAATTTCACATTGGAACAAGTTTGCTGTTATGTGCCATTGAGTTGCTTGCGACTCATAGCAACCCTATATACAAGAGCTTTAAACACCGTTCTATCCTGTGCCAACCTAGCCATCTCAAACACACTTTTCCCCACAATTCCAGTCACAGAATCGATCCATCTCATAGAAGGTCTTCCTCTCCTTCGCCACCCCTCCACTCTGCCGAACATGATGTCCCTCTCCACGGACCAGTCCCTCCTTGCAACATGCCCAAAGTATGTCACATCAAACTTCAGATTCCTTGACTCCAAGTAGCATTCCGGCTTCATGCTCACCAGGAAAAACCTGTTTGTTCTCCTAGCAGACCATGTACATTCAACACTCTTCTCCAGCACCACAGCTCAAAGGCATCAATTCTCTTTCTATCATCCCTATTCACTGTCTAACTCTCTGATGCAGAGTGCATAATTGAGAAGACTATAGCCTGGATCAGGAGCACCTTAGTCTTCAGCCTGACATTGTTGCTCTTCAGTACTCTTGAGAGGTCCCTCATAGTGACTTTCCCAATGCAATTCTTCTCTTGATTCCCTGGCTACTATTACCAAGAGTGTTGATTGTGGAGCCAAGTAAATGAAAACTGTTAACTATCTCTATGTCTTTATCATCCATACTGATGCTGCCAATTGGCCCAGTGGTGAGAATCTTTGTTTTCTTGATGTTGAGCTTAAATCCATATTGAAGACTGCAGTCCTTGACCTTCAGCAGCAAGCGTGCGTCGGGTCCTCCTCAGTTTCAGCAAGCAGGGTTGTGTCATCTGCATAACACAAGTTGTTGATGACTCTTCCACCAAGCCTGATGCCACATTCCTCCTCGTACAGCCCAGTGGACAAGTGGTGGACAAGTAGTGAATAAATTATTTTAGTAAAGCAAGATGCATATGAAGTATGCTTTGTATTTCCCCATTTTTGTATAGCTATAGTGTTGCTTTGAAGTAAAAATTTAGACAAAATAATTTCCTATAAGAATAAAAATGTGTTAAATCAAATTAATATATTGTTAGAGAAAGTTAGAACAGACAATAAAATTCTACAAGTTCATTGGGCTCCTAGACAAATCTAAAAGCCTGTATTTAATTGCTAAACAAACAAAATTAAATTTGAACATCCTTATTGTTAATAGATTTTGCTTCCCAATTAAGAACTAGCAATCTGAAAGATTTACTTCATCATGACAGATTCCCTTGTCACTCCACAGACACAGTCAGTCCTTGGATTGATTTGTATAGCTATCCCCATTGAGGATGTTATAAGTTTCTAACTCTTTTTAAATAAGGGAATTATGCCAACAATTCATCAGTATTTGCAAATTAATTATGATTAACCTTTCATAATGGGGATTATGGTTAATTGTTGATTCATCTCCCAGCCCTCCTTTTCATGACTAATTCTCCTATCAGTTTGACCTGAAATCAAAATTTCAAATTAGGCAGCTTCCCTCACAATTATCTGTATCAGAAATGTGATTTGGAAATGTGTGTGTGTGTGTGTGTGTGTGTATGTGTGTCTTTTCTATCACATGTTAAATACTCTGTCAGGAAGATTCAGGAAACTATTTGGGAAATGTCTGTTGTGATATTTATTTATCTTTTGACCCAATCCTGCTAATATTCAATTAATGATACCAGTTCCTAATCTGCCAATTTGAGCACCCACTCACCTCTCAAGTGCATTTATTTGACATTTAGTTATGCATCTGGTATTTGCTGTTGTTATAAGGACCTGACACTTTCCCCAGCTTCAGCAGATGAGTGCTAATTATTAAATATGCCCCAAAATTTTTATTTTTCATTAATGAGACATAATGCCTCATCACGGTACACTGCTCATGTGATAACATTTGATAGAAAACAAGCTCTACCAGTTATTTAGCTAAACTGAAAAACTGAACAATACAAACAAAATATCCCCATATTGTCTCATGTCTTTTTATTTTCATAAGTAATCTCAAGATTGAGCTGTGGTGCTGGAGAAGAGTATTGAATGTACCATGGACTGCCAAGAAAACAAACAGATTCATCCTAGAGAGGGTTAAACCAGGCTACTCCTTGGAGGCAAGGATTCTGGGGCTTTGTCTGACATACTTTGGACATGTTGCAAGGAGAGACAGGTCTTTGGAGAGGGACATTATGCTGGGCAGAGTGGAGTAACAGCGCAGGAAGGGAAGACCCTCTATGAGGTGGATTGATTCAGTGACTGGGGTAATCAGGATGGGTGTGTCAGAGGCAATGAGATTGGCACAGGATAGAGCAGGGTTTAGGGCTGTTGTACATAGGGTCGCTATGAGTCGCAAATGACTCGATGGCACATAACAACAACGACAACAATCTCAAGACAGGTTTTCAGTTACAGAAATTATAGCAGTCTACTTTTAATTTAATTAATGTGAATTGAAATGCTCAAAATATGACTTAGATATTTAAATATCATATTTAATAAAAATTCCCCTTTTATTTCAGTTTTTTCCTTTTTTAGATTATTTTACTGTCAGGCTCCTATCTCATGAAGCATTTAAATTTTTCTTGGTTAGTTTTTTTTTCCCCCAGGTTCTTTATCAAGATCAATTTTGTATCTAAGATTCAGAGCAGTGTCCACTTTGGAGTAACAACATATCATTTGGTATGGATGTATGCATAATAATTAAATACAAAAGTAGAAATATTTCTCTCAGCATTGTCAATGTTGAATTCCCTACAAGTTATTATATGATCAATGGTAACATGGAAAAATTAGAACCTATCTAGATTTTCTTAAGATTGATATGGATAAATTTTATTTTTTAAAGTATTAGTTTATTTACAAAATTTTAACCTTGATTTTTAGAACAGATTCTTCCAATTTCTCTCACCCCCAACCCATCAAATTGTACAACTCATGATTAATTCCTTCCTCCCCCCTGCACATCCTCAGAGAAATGGATACATTTTAAAAGCTTGTCCTTCATGGCAGTACTATGCTTTTTGCAACTTTAAATGTCCTTTACTTTTGAAACTAATGCTAATGGTGTCTGTTGCTTATAATCTGAAAATTTCTTTTAAAAACTCCAACAAAAACCCTAAAAAGCAAAAATGTCTCTATATATTTTCTTATAGTTTTCATTTTTAAAAATTAGCTTGAAAAAAAAAATAGCTTCTTCTGAGATTAAAAATCTGGAATCCACAGCTGTGCACAGTGTGTTGCACATGTATTAAGGAACATAAACAGAGTTTAAG